GTAGCGACTGAAACATGAGGCGGCCTGGTGCAGCACATTCAGTTGCCTGAGAACATCATAAACGAGAGATTCAGCTGGGTTCCAGGTGAGTCTCTCGAAAGAACCAGATTAGTTTGCAGATAAGTGTATATTCGCTAAGTACTCTACAATTTATCTAATAGGTAAATTGGAAGAGGAAAGATACCAGACGGTACTACCTTCTGCGCAGTTTTCAACAAGGTTGAATAGGAAGACAAGGAAAAATACTTTCCGGTCACCTTGGGGATGGAGTTAATGCAGCATTTAGAAATGGGAAAACTGGAAAAAAGACGTGTTATTGACCTCTGGACCCACCCAACCCCACAATGACAATGTCACCTCGATTGCAATCGAACAAACAAGTAGTGCACCAGAGCTACCTATATTTCGCAACATCACTGATGTCACTTAACTCATCGATACAGAACCTGAGCAGGTGGAAGGGTCTCATCAGGACTGGAATAAATCCGCAATCGACAGGATTTGAGCAAATTTATGACATACTCTCGACATATCACAAAGCGGTTTTAATTTAGAAGAGAAAGTGGGTGAAAGAAGTTTGAGGACCCAGTGAATTAACTTCGGCTGCTACTATCGACTATTCACATTTCGATCCTTTCGACGGCAAAGTTCGTGCTTATGCTCACCAGTTCTAACGGGATTCCAAATTTACTGATTTCAATCGAATTGTGTGTGGAGGGCAGCTGTCACAGACCATATGGATTAAGGTAGTACTGTTAGTTAAAACAGTAGTACATATCCGAGCCTAGTTTTTTCGCAAATAAGTGGGAACTGTCCATTGCATCCTGGAACCCTTCTAATTCAAATAGGCCGAAAGGAAGAGTTCGGTACCGTTGATTCCTCCTAATGTGGTCTGGCGAATTCCTTTTAGCTAGGAACCTTTCTACTTCTACCTGTTTTTCCTGTCGGAACGGTATGCTCCTAAAAGAACAGAGAAGGGTGAACACTTGACCCGTATGGTTCAGATACAAACACCGTTAAGCGCGAGCTGGTAAATCCCAGCCAGGAATCGATTTGTATCCATCGCCTGGACGAACATCCAATCAAGTGAATCTAGCGACCTAATGCGCTTTCACGGAATCAACAGATCAAAACCAAAGCGACCAATCAAACCTGCTTCCGTCCTTGTGCACTGTTCATTTCACCGAATGGAAGATTAATCGGGATGAGAGTGGTGGTGGTGGTGGTGGTGAACGGTACGCAGTTTATGTCCACTACGACTGGAGATCAATTTGTGAGAGGCTCATGTGCATTCACGATGTTCCTTATGCACAGCCGGGGATGATAGAGAGAGAGAGAGAGAGAGGGAGAGTAAACAGGCAAACGAATGAGCAAAATCATCGCGTGTGCACCAGCAATTTGGACCAGCAACTAACTGACGGGATCTCAAGCCGGATGTTGCTGTTAATGACAGGAAGATTCGTCCTAATCGAGCGAGACTTGGATCGAGCAAAATATGCGTCCGACAGGCGACTCGAAAAGTAGGAAAAAAAATAGTC